CTTTTTTTTTTCAGCAACAATATTTGTGTACGGTATTGTAAGATTTCCCTTGGATATCTTTCTCGCCTTGTCGAGGTCGTCTGTCGATAAAAGGGCGCCTCCTATCCTGTAGTCCACGTCGAGATAACTTCACTCACGCCCTTTCACTTGTTAGCTCACTCAAGACTTCCCCGTGCAAGTTGGTCTGTCCCCGTGGCTTTATGCACCCCGCACAATTTAGCAAAATGTGACTTTTTTTGGCTTAATTTCTGATTATTTTCGTTTATTATTCTTGGTTAAAATTAACAGAATCGCAAAATTTCACATTATTGGACTCAGTTTGCATAATTTCAGAATTTTTCTTGCATAAAAAGACGGGGACAGGTTGGTCATGCGCAAAGACCTTTATCCTTTGGCCAGATGCTTAAACATTAAATTTACTGGCCAAAATGTTTGACAAAAACAAAATGTTCGATCCTACAGTAACACCCTGGCGAAATCAGTCGTTTTTCAAAATTATCAAATCGAAGTAATCGGAATTTTTCTAATCTTTGGACAATTACTATTGATTAAACAAAACATTTCTTTTAAGAAGAAAAAAATCGAATTGGCTCAACACGTTTTGTTTCCATTTTAAAACACACTTTTGTTTGGGTTCGACGTCTACTTCTATTGAAAAACGTTGATTGAAAGCACCAGAACAAAAAAAAAAAGTAAATTTGCGGTTTCCAAGGACACTCAAACTTTGGAAGTCTCCAGACTTTCGTGGCCATTTTCTCGCTAATTTTACCTCTGACACCAGGCCACCTAACCACCTACTTCAATAGTTTACATCTTGACTTCAATTCAAGATAGATGAGTATTTTTCCATCAAAAGCAAGACAGATGAACAAGCTTTATTAAGATTAAGATGATACCAATGACCCCAGATAATGCCCCAAAATTGACGAGTGTTCGATTCCACTGTGTCATGACACTGACACATTTTTTTCCTGCGGCACTGAGCTGTTTTCTTTTATTCTAATACTGACAAATCTACATTATTCTTTATATTACAGTGTAGGTCACCTACGTGTTTTGTGTGGACCTTTGTGAGTAGGTGTATCTATGTATATATATATATATA